GTATAGGAAAGAAACTTGAGGTTACATCTAAAATGCGATAATCAAGAGCAGATAGAATATTAAATATCACGTGATCCCACAACAAATGATAGATAAATACTTACATCTCTTGTTATTTGATGTTTACTTGGTGTAACACTAAACATTCACCCAGCTAAGAGGGCGTTAAGACCTTAACCCATGAATTGTCTCCGCTAAATTAAGCACAAAAACATTTTCTCTACGTCACAGTAAGCTTTGAAAATCAACCCATTTTACAAGTTCATAGTAATAATTTTCTTTCACCTATAGATTCACCATGCATTAAGCAGTAGTATACGGAGAATTTTTTAGTTGATAAGCATTTGGTATAATCTTTTCCACATGGATATTATGTCAGATTAAATTTTAAGAAATTATCTTCTTTGAAAATAAACACGTCTAATACCCAGAAATTAAAAAGCTCTGTGCTTATGTGATTTTTTTACTTTTTTAAGAACACCACAGGGAAAACCTGTTTGTTTTTTATGATTGAGTATAGAGTTCAATTCCGTAACACATTACTAAAGTTAATTTCACATACAGTATACCTCATAAAATTTATGTATTCTTTCTATTGGTTCCATTTTCCCCTTTATACTGTACTTTTTATCATGAAATAGACTGCATGGTGTTATCAGAATCGAATCTGTGGTGGACATAGTTAATAAAGCTAAGGTTAGGATATGGGAATGGGTTTATGATTGTGCTATTTTACTACAGACCTTGTGAAGGTTATTATTCAATGCATAATTAACATAGATTTCTTTGCCTAACAAAGTTTTCATAAGATTTTGCCGCTTCTATGGTAATCTTTTAAGTTCCTTCGCCTGTTCCATGGACGAAATTACTACTACTACTGGTAATCTTTTAATATGTTATGTAAAATACAAGACGCGTGTAAGCCACAGATCACAGACCGTTGTAGGCTATAGAGAATAATGTTACTGAAAATTGTGTTAGTATCCAGATTCAGGATAAATATTACGATTAGTAATCTTTGGTGATAGACTGGTGTTTCCAACTGCATTATAATTAAAAAATATCTTCTAAATGTTAAACGAATTATTTTCCTGATAAATAAAGTCCCGATTATGACCTACTGACTGAACTCAAAAAATTGACATTTTGGAATTATTAAGAGCAGGTAACATAAATATGATGAGACATTAATAACTACCGGACGCGACACAGTTTTCTTACGAGTAGCAGTTAAAACAATGTTCTTGACTTATTCAACATGTGTGACTGAAATGACAAAATTATGTTGGCACGTACCTATGATCTCATCAACTATAAAACAGATGATTTTAGGTCATGAGATACGTCAGTCGTTACGTAATATTGTGGTAATGTGAAGAAATTTGTCATGTTAACTAAGTATTTGGATTATATTTCATTTAAATTCTTTAAATGTTAATTTTTTATAAAAAGAAATTGTAGGTACAGTCGACATAAGGTACGCTAAAGTATTATAAAATGTCAATATTTTCCAATAAATTTAAAGCATTAATTTTTTGTCAATTAAATTTAAAATTGACTGCAGGCTCTTAGACTATAATGTCCTCTAACGTGAATCCCAGTCACCTTCGAGGCGTGATGTTGTGTTAGTATTGCCCTTTTATAACCACGACTATAGGAGAAAAATATCGAATGTTCAATTGTTAATATAATTTTAATAATTACATACCTAATTGTTTTTTTTTTACAATTTAGCGTGTTAATCAGTGATAATCAGGAATATATGTACTATCAGTGAAATAAAAAATAATAAGAGTTTTCACAAAAAATTTTATGTCTATGAGAAAACTATATAAGTCTTAAATTTGCATAAAGTATGCCTGATGTTTGTTACCCCAAAACTCAAAATATCACTAAAACGCATGAAACAAAAACTGAAAAAAAGATGAAACCGACTTTAAATAAAAAAAAATATTACTTATCTTAATAGCGGTATTTTTTTTTAAGAAACATTTAAGTCAAGCGGTTACATTTAATTAACTACAGAAAATCTCAGCCCGACTCCAATGTTTCCTTAAAAATTTAACCGCTTTTAAGATCAGTTTAATTTTTCACTTCTTTAATTTGAAGTCGGGTCCATTTTCTTTTCAATCTTTATCCACCCCAACCAAATTCAAACAAAAAACCAAACTCTCTTTTGTGTGTGAAAGAATATTTTAATATTAGTACCTATGATTTTTGAAAAATGAAAATCTGTTCAAAAAAAATTCGTATCACTTTTCAATTTAGACAGAGATCTTTTGAAAATAATATTAAACCTATATTAAAAAAAACATAAATATCAATATTACAAACAACTGCATCCGCAAAATCTTTTGCGGCATCCCTACCCTGGAAAGAATTTAATTTACAGATAATAAATAATTTATAAAAAAATATGGTCGCTCACTACCTTTGTTTGTGGACGTTATCAGTCAATTTCTTACATAATTGTCAAATGACGTCATGTAACTTGACTGAGAATTTATCTACACTAATATTCTAAAGAGGTATTTCTAACTGAATTTGTTTGTTTGTAGGTGATGATAACCTTCAATCGGAAAGACGTACTGATCCAATCATAAAAATTCTATCACCTACGGGAAGCTACATCGCGGGTGACATAGGCTAAAATTTATGTAGGCCTAAAGACTAATACTTAAGCAATAAAATTAGAACACAACCTGCTATGCAATTTTGTAATAAAATCAGCCTCGAACTCGACGTCGAGCACAGCGCTGTCACGGTAAAGAGCTACAATAAAATAAAACCTTTATTACTTTTGAAGTAGGTTTGGGGGCGTCCATAAATTACGTGAGATGTTTAAGGGGGGGAGGGGGTCGAGGCAAATCTCATCTAATCTTACGTTGGAGAGAGGGGGTCTCGGCAAATATCACGCAATTTTTTTTCTGATTGAAACAAAAAAATATATACTATTTTGGTCCATTTCATCCAGATTGTACATGCTTAAGATTTAATCTTAAGCGTAATCGTATACGATTAAGATTCATACTTCGACGCTATACATCTACTGAATGTCAAACTACCATATTTGTAGGGCTCGAACGATACTACCGATACCGAGTAGGTATTGACACTTTGAAAAGCGATACTCGATACTACAACAAGGCAAATACTCGCAAGTACTCATCAAATTGCATTTTGAAAAATCTCACGTGAGATTGGGGGATGGGGGAGGGGGTTGAATAGAATCTCACGACATCTCACCAGGGGGGGAAGGAGGGACAGAAAATTTAAAAAACACCTCACGTAATTTATGGACGCCCCCTTTTATTCTATTCTCCTTGGTTTTATTTGATTGAACCTTCACATCTGTGAGAGCGTTGTGTTCTACGTCGGGTTGAAGACTACCTTTGTTACAAACATTGCAGTACATCATAACCAGAGCTATATAAACAGATACTACATGAAAACAATGTTAGTAAAACATATTTGTAGGGGAGCAACTCGAGTGACGTGAACCAAGCCATCATTTGTTAGTATTAACATGATTCCTTCACAAAGTATACTGAATTCTACATATAAAAGCTAATGACGACGAGGAAAATAGCACAACCAACCAGCATACCATTAAAAGACGCAATAATTCACGATCTAACAATTAGATTATCGATTTATTTACGCAATAATCTTTCATTAGCCAACTAAATATTATAATAAAAGAACTCATTAAGAATCTAACAATAATGAGATATTAAAAAAAAGCATCTTAAAAGACCGATTTGCGGAATGAAAAACTTATATGACTATCAACTTTTATATTAACACTTTTTTTGACAGATACCATTTGAAATGTAACGGTCGTTTTTTATCCAATGTTCAACCTTTTAGTTAAGTATTTTTTTTATTAAGAAAAATATTTTTCCGTTGATTTGATAAAATATTTTAATAAAAACACTATGTAAGTAAAAGCAATAGTTACTTGACAATTGGACAAAAAAGGATGATTACTAGTGTTTTTTCTCAATTAAAATAAATATATTTGCTGAAATCCTCACACCACCATTTTTCCCCCAGTCAATTAACACGTTACTTGTTTTTTAATTCAATTATCAAACTTATTTAGATTCGAAACTAGATTATTTTCAATTTAAATATAATGAGGTTTGATATCCCAACATCTACTTCAAGATATGAATAGTTAGTTAAAAATAATATATCAGATCCCCCAATAAGAGACTGAAAGCATGCGCAGAAGTAACCAAAACTGTCACAACTCGGTACGTACATTTTGATAGGTATAAAGCGAAGGAGGCTTCAAAGGACAGAAGAAGCTTGGAAGAGAAGCGTGTTAATGACTGGGGGATACCTCATTTTACCCCTGACCACTGAGCACCACACACTATGAATAACCCAATAAACATCTGACGAAGCTTGTCTATGAAATCCTGATAATCCAACATCAAATTTTCTATTCGTTAGAAAGCTAACGCAATTAAAAAAATATATTAAGACACAATTATTACCAGCTACAAATACGATACCAATACAACAAGTTGCTCAAATAAGTATTAAAGAGAGTTGTGCACCATCCGTAAACAAATACACGTGCAGAAAGCTTTGCAAGAGTGGTTGTCACTGCAAGGCGTAACAATTATTCGAGGATGCTCTGGGCAGGTACACGTGAAGAGTTGTATGTGGATGCGATATCTGTTGCTGTTTGTGCACGTGCATTTATTTTCGGGTTGTGTCTTCTTCTTCTTTTATTAATGGCTTATCTGTGCTTTTCGCACAATTCTGTCAATGTGAAGAAAATAAATTAATTTCTATATGTAAAATGAAAATTATATTAACGACATCTTACTAAGACACTAATGTTTTTCTCAGGTTGTGTCAGATATCTTGAGAAATTAAATGACATGTCATAATCACATACATTAGTATTTATGCATTTTTAAACCATAAACTTAACGTTGGCGTACAAAACAATAGAAAAATTTGGCGCTTGTCTATGAAGACTGGCATAATGCACTATAGAGAAAAAGCCGCGTGAGATTTTATTACTTTTAGTGTGTCAAAGTCGGGGTAGGAAAGATAAGTATTTTGTATTTACTACAATAAAAAGTTAGTCAGTAAATCTTGTTATTGGGTTATTCAAAGTACAATTTGCAGTGCTATGGTTAAGCTAATGTGTAGATAAACATTTTCGAGACGTACAGTTTATTGCAGGTAAGAAAATACATACTGTATCCGGGCGCGCTGTGCTCTGGAAAACGTAAGCTGACCAAATTACCCGTACGAGATCTCGTGAGCCATGCAAAGTTCATATTTATGTCGCAAACTTAAGCTTCCATGCTGTATACCCATAGAGTTAAAAATATACCGGCATCAGAGACGTCACCAATATCATTTTTAAACACAAAACGGCGACACTTACCCTTATCTTGTGACCACGTAGCATGCATTTTCCATATCACAACCCGTTCGGATACACCATAAAAATTATTACACTTACTTATTACCATTAATTGACACAATATTGTAAAGTATAAATAGTTACATTTAATAAATTTATAAAAAATGACAGAACATAGAAATTAGCCTTTATACCGAGTGTTCGTGACTAAAGCCCCATACCTATTTATGTGAATATTGAGATAATGGCAACACCATATAATGACGTTTAAATAATAAGGTATTCTAAAGAGTTCCATTAAACAAATTACCCGATATATGGCAGCGTTTCCTCGTGTTACACTTAATTATTACGGTTTTTATTGCTGTTATATAAATAATCAAATGAATATTATTTTTTTACTTATTTGTTACAAAGTAACAAAAGAAATCGTGCCATATAAAATTTCATATACTTTAACACCAATAATTGCTATATACTAGGTAGGTATGTGGTGTGAGGTATGGTATATATAACGATGACAGCTAAGGTACTAACCCCGCATAAGAAAGAGATGAATAGACGATTGTCTCGCTCGCTATTGCAAAATATCTCACAGTATGAGGGACCAGTCCTTACTTTATGTTGCATGTGTTCTAGACAGTTAGATAGTGAACATATTTGACCGTAACATACTTAAGGATGACTTTCGGAAAGGAAATATAAGTGTAGGATAGGTGCCCACCATTAGCCCTAAACTATAAAATATAATAAGCTGCCTTTGAGGGGTGATTACGAAAAACGTAACATCAATATTAAACTTAAAAATTAGTTCATTTGCAAACGGTATCAACAGACAAAAATGAGTAACTATAATAAAAATATATTTAATATACAGTACCTATGTGTACACTTGCATTGTACTCAAAAAAAAAAAAAAATTAAGTACCCAATGGTTTTGATTCCGTTACAGATACCTACATTTAAAATTAAGTACCGCATCTCTTTTTTTCATATGAATAGAACAAGGATAGGTAAGCATTTTTAAAGTTTTGTCGTTATTGGAAAAACAAAGGAATCCGGTTTTCATTGCTAGTACGTATTAATATTTCATTCACATGTATATTTGTGGAAGCAAACTTATACATCTTTACTTTTTCTGAAATTGTTATTTAACTCATAATGTTTAATTAATATTATACGTATTTACATTAAATATTTTTTTAGTTTAGAGTTTTTTTTTTATAAAGAGGTCCTATACTATAGTAAAAAAATATTGATTGGTCAATTAAAGTTCGAAAATAGAATTAATTTCATTGATCCTTTTCTATTCTGAAGAAGAGATGTAATACATAAATTGCCTTTGCGAGCCACAGAACAAAAAAAAAAGTACTTGTATAAGTAACAGTTATCAGACTTAAAATCAGCCTTTTGAATATGTCGGCATCAATTTGTCTTTCAGCTAATGGAATGTCTGTATTTTTTAAAATCACAACGTTAAATCACACTACATCAGACATAATTATAATCTAAATATACCTATCTACTTGTCATCAATTAACAACCTCTGGTTCACTTAATAAATTAACACAAGTGAGTGTTCAACAAACTGTATAACAACAAAAAAAAAAGTCTCACAAGAGCCGCAAGTGACCAGTTTTAAAAACCGATCACGATCTTGGAAACCGACTAAAATAGATGCTGCCGAGTGCTCACTTAACCGTGGAATAACTAAATTCGTGTAAATAAACCCGTTAACGGTATTTACGGCTTCTAAACTTTTGAGCTTATTGTCATCGCATTACCCTGTTTAGTATTTAACTACGACAAATCGTCAACCAATCAAAATCATAAGGTATTATGTCAACCGTGACGTGATACAATACCTATTGGAAGCATTACGTAATTTATACTCCAGGATAGTAAGGGTAAGTCGGAAACATGGATAAAGTAGGGAACGGAGTACTCAAAGACGCCGGGAGAGTTGCGGAAAGAGCGGAACCGTATCCAGCAGGGAGTGCAGTCGGAATCGTTCCCTGGACATTCGGATAAGTGGAGAGGACCGGACTGGTATTTGCGTATGAAAAGATGGGTGTCGAAGTGCCGTATGAGAACATAGGAAGGGAAAGAGAGGGTGTCATTTGCGGGGGCACCGTGTATTGGCGTTTGGCCGGGGTCGGGTCGGTGGGGGTGAAGGCGCGGTCGTAGGTACGCTTGGCGGGAAGCACCTGAGGCTGGGGGATGAACTGGGGCACTTGGACGGGGGCGGGCTGGCGGACTGCCAGGGGGAGGAGCAGCGGTGGGCGGAGGGAGGCGAGGAGGAGGTTCTCGTGCTGGCGCGCGAGGAGGCTCTGGTGCGCGATGTGGTGCGCGAGAAGGCGCGGCGCGGGCGCCTGAGGGACCAACGTACCAGGGGACAGAACCTTTGGCGAGGTGGCCGGAGTAACACCGCCGGTCAGCACTAGGTTCATGTCGTCGCCTGAGCACTGGAACACCTGGGAGGATGGAGGTTGTGCGTTTATTATACCCTTATCTCCACATATGAGAGTAACTTCATTGGTGCGTTGAGCCATTTCATTTCTTGTCAATACAGTGTTTTGTAAAAAGTTACTGTACCTATTTAAATTGTTACGCACCCACTAAATAAGTTGTTAATGTTACTTTCTGAACTCTGTGATTTAAATAGACTTTAAATATGTAAGACTGTCGTAATTTTTATCATACAAGTATAAAAGAAAAAAGATGTGATGAAAAAAATTACCTCGATATAACGCTGCTTCTTTCCAAAGGTCATGTAGCGATGGTGTTTTTGTTGCGCGCAAAGGAAAGCGCTAGCTTCACTGTCCATTTGTATGAATGCTTCCCCGCTAGGGTGACCCTGCGTATAACAGGACAATGGATGAGTGACATTTCAAAATGTACTTTAATCAGAGAAACAGAAAACTACGTAAAATACAGGCCTTCTTAGCAAAGACTATCTTGGTTTATAAAATGTAAATATTGTACAATAATAGAAAATAATACTCATATGTAAGGTATGTACACGATTCAATTGTTTGTTTTTTGATCAATTTTAAGAAGACAGTGTTTGAGGTTCTGTATATAAATTTGGATGTTTCGATAGATATAAGCTTTTTAGTTATAACTTTGTGTTTTGATGTGCACACATTTATATCTCAATTTGTCTCCCTAAAAACAATTCATTTTCTAAATAGAACTCGAAATTACCTGTGCATTGAAAACCATGTGAACTCCTTGTACAACTATGTTTTTGGCAAACTCATCCAGAAAAGTGAGGATATGCTCCACCTAAAAATATAGTGCAATCAAATATCTATAAATAAATTAAAGAATAACTATATTAAAGCAAAAGGGAATTTGATTGAGCTGCTCATTGAGAAAAGAATACATATATAACCTATATAAGGACAATTGCCTACTGTCACTTGCAAAGTTAACGTTTTTAAAAGTAGTATTAGTAGTCTTTTTCCTTTTTATCCTTGAGATTGTGTTGATTTTTATGACAGCCGCTCGGTTCTTATCAACAACAAACCATTGACTTAAAGCCTTGGCTATTATAGCGAAGTGTTTAATAAAATTGCAGTAAAGTGAGTAGAGTGCCTGTGCTCACACGATAACTTGTGAATTACGTACCTTTACATTTAAATTATCCCGGCACTCATTTTATCCAGAATGCTTGTAATAAAATATTTTAGATAATTTAACTAGCTATTTGGTAACAATATATAATAAAAATCTTGTTTGGGACTCATACAATGTTCGTGTAGTCTCCATAAGTAAAGAATATAGGATAATGACCATTAATCTTTATTTATATCATTATATGCATTACACTAACTAGATTAGGTGCAACTAAAAAATGATAACAAACGTTTGAAATATTTGAAAGTTGGAATATCATGGTTACCTTATTTTACCCGCCAATATTAACGTCGGTATTCTGATTTAGTATTTTTAATATTTTATTAATGTTGATATTCCTTATTTGTTCTTATTATGGTTGATAACAGTAGTATGATTTGTCATTAAATATTCATAAAAAATGCATAAAAAAGTCAACGCCATTCGTTTAATAACAACCTGTATAAGTAAACTAGAGAAAACTAAATGTTTTTTGATTCTACCTGTGCTTCATATGGTAGACCCCTGAGCCGCACGCAGTCTTTAGCTGTTCCTGAGGTGATGACGTGTTGAGGTACTAAAGCAACCGGTAACAAGCTCTCAGAAGGTGCTGGGGCTGCGGATGGTGTACTCGCTGTACTTGTACGGGTCTCCAGCGATCGATTTAGAACCTGGAACGGTTGTTGCTATATAGTGATCGTTGAAGATTTAAAAACGGAAATGCAAGCCGTAAAACGGAAATAATGATGACAAATAATGATAAAATAAGATGGAATGGAGTTTCAAGATTGTGTACAATTCTTATTATTTGTCATTAAAATATTTTGATTGATCTAAAAATATTCGAAACCTTTAGTGCAAAAGCAAGTAGTTTTTTATTCTAGATAGGCAAGCACTTGACCACAGATCACCTGATGGCAAGCAATGCAGTGTCTAAGATGGAGCGTATAAGTAAAAACACATTGATTTAATTTATAAGCAAACATAATTATAAGATTATGATGACTAGCAACTTGGATTGTGCAACATGCGTTTGTGCACCATCCGCAAATAATTACTCGTGGACAAGCGGTAATAAATCTCACAGCCACCCCTAATTATACTCTACCCTTGCACTACCATTCAAAGTCCGTGTACAAATATCTTGCATTTACTAACTTCGTGTATGGAAACTGTTTAATATATAACAATATATTTCCATAGGGTAATGATTCTATTTTATAAAATTACACATACTTTTTTCCGTTTACCTTCGGCGTTTATGTACGAGTATAATTTATATTTGTAGTAGTTAAAACGTCATGAGTTTTAATGTCATGAGTATTAATAACAAATAAGTTTGTTAGAAACAATTCTCAGTCATGACCATGAGTAATATTGAACGATCGCAGTCCATGTTATCGCTCTCACGATTCTTAGTAACGCCATTCGTGTGTAGTTTGAGCAAATCAAATCAAGTACCTATACAGAGCACGTGGAATGACATCTACTCATACCTAGGTATCAAATAGTCTAAACTGTATGTGCCACAGCACGTCAAGTTATACAAATAATAATATACAAAACATGGGAAATTCAATATTAATGAATTGCCGGTAGTGTTCAGAATGAAATGCAGTTATTTATTGATTTCTTATAATTTCATGCTCCATGGCGTTTGTATTTAGTTTTATTGAGGTTCTGTGTTCACATATGACAAAGGTCAGTACATAAGACCTTAATTTAACTAAAAGACTCTTCAATAATAGTAGGAACGCGATGAAACCGTTTAAAAGTGGTTTCATTTATGCAAATATTTGGCATATTTTGGTAGCATGACGTAGTCAAAATATGAAAAGCTTCGGTTCTGAGGTAAATATGAATCATAATCATCATCATCATCAGCCCTTTTAGGTCCCCACTGCAGGGGCTCAGGCCTTCCTTATGGATGGTTAAGGAGGATGGGCCATGACCCTCCACGCTGGCCCAATGCGGATTCGAGGGTAAATATAAATCATGTAATAGAAAACTTGAAAATTGAGACCCGGGGAATAACTACCTAATTTTAAAATATTTTCCAATCCATCCAATTTGACATTTGAAAGATATTCACATACGATTAAAGTGAAGCTACAAGTATTTAATATGTGATAGTGATTGCAATCGCGAAATTCCGATATAGAATGAACGATATCGTTAATTGGAATAGTCTGAGGCAAGCGGAAGACGCGAATATTACTTTAAGTAGTTTTTATTGTTTCTAGATCATTAAAATCATCATTCGTTCTTCTAGATCATTCAATTGTGACCTTAAACGTTACATAATTCCATTAATCATTATCGAAGTCATTATTCTGTGAAAGAGATAGATAGATTTTGAAATTAGACAATTAGCCCATACGTCGTTTTATTCGCTAGCCTTAGCCAGAGTGTAGATTGTTTTTATCGATGTAAATACTCCACAATGATATTCTTTTATAATAATGTCCTTTTTTATTAATAATTATATTAATCAATGTTTTATTTATTTTAGTTTTATTAATTTAATCGATTATACTAAAATCAAATATAGTCAATATAAGTCGAGTTTATTCAAACGATGCAGCAAATACCTATCATTGGAATAATACGTTCATAACAGTTTTGAAGAATGATAAAACACTTGTTTGATTTAAATTATGGAAACCTTGGTATAGTTTCCAAAGGAATATACCATAATTTAACTAAAATATGAGTTATTGTTTGCCCAGTCGTAATCCTCGGTGCTTGGCAATAGAATTTTACTGTTGCCGATAACATTGTTTTCTAACATACATGAACTTCAGCGAATGTAGTTTGTTACTAGTTAAAAATATTGTTTTATTTTTGTAAGGAAGCTTGTTTTTTTTTTAACTTTAACATTTTCTCAGAATAGCACGCCTTTTTTTAATTTGCGAATTTCTATTATTTCAGTCACAGTATGAAAAAAGTACTGTTATATATTCACAAATCGGAGAAATTTTATCATCGCAGACAGGCGTTTGCGTACCGGGTAATAATAATGTTTGAGATTAGACTCAGTAAACACACAAAGCTAGTTCAGATACTGTCTTTATAGTGGGTAATAATTATGTATCGAGCAAGTAGTCATATGAAACGTTAAAAATACATTAAAATTGGTGTTACTTTAAAAAGCGGGAACATTTTGTAAACATATTTTCTTGGAAAAAAAAAGCTTTTGGAGAGACTTCTGTTACTCCTGAACACAAGGTACTACAGCACTGTAATATAAAAATGTAATCTAAGAAACTTGTTTAGACGATTATGAGTGTAATCTTTGACTTTGGTTCCATACTTCACAGTTTATTCAAGGGATTACTTACATATGAAATCTAACATTTGACTTTTCTTACCTGCTGAACTTCAGCTGTTGTAGACCGAAACAGTTCAATATATCTAGCCCCTATGAGTTTTCTATGCCTCGAGAGAGCTTTAGGTGCGTCATCTTCTTTAGCAAAGAGTACAAAAGCATCTCCTGTAGCTCTACCATCGGCACGCCGCACGAACAGCACGCCATCTGCTCCGTCCAGCACTTGTACTGGATCATCACCAGTTGAAAAGAAATCCAGCTATGAAAGAAAGAAGATGCAGATGATAGAATATTTTTTTTATTATTAAAGACTTATTGCCATTAGCATTTAAGTCTGATCCAACAGTAATGAAGCACACGAAGTTATTTACTGTTTTTGTTTTTAGCTACCTATACAAAATATTTTTGTGATTCATAAGTGAACTCAAGTTATGAATTATACAGAATATTGGAAAGACAAGGAAATTCATCGCACCTCGCTTGCCATTAATATGATCTCATGATCTCTGTTAGTTTTGCATTTGCTGCCGTACAGTGTCGTCTTGTTCTATGCAACTTGAGTGAGTATTGTGCTAAATCAAGATCCAGCTGGCATATTACGTTACATCACCAGGAATTTATATTACGACAGAGTTGCTTCGCTGATTTCCCCTTTATTCCTAGTTGCTTTAATAGCTAAAAGTACAAGGCGTATAGTATTAAGTGTATATAAAGATCTTACCACTTGCTGTGGCAGCGCATCGTAGGGTAGACCGCGCATACGCACAATGACTTGCGCACCTCTCGACAGGAAGGCAGCAGCTTCACACGTCGCTCCGCCAGCTACTGACAGGAAATCATCACCACTTGCACGGTACACCTGGAGAAATTTACGTCTTTCTCAAGTTTGGAAGGTGTTGGTCTTAAGAAGTGTGATTGTGTGATCTCAAATTGATATAAACTTTGCATTTATACAGTAAGGGCATAATAATAACTAAGTCGAAAATGCAACTAGTAATAGGCACAAATAACCTATATGCAAAAGTGTGTTTAAGCGAAATAGTACCGAACATTGAAAAGCCACATTTATCAAAGCTGATTTTAAATGTAGATGAAGACCAAATTAAAACTATCACAGTACAGACCTCGATGTACCGTTGGCCGATGTGGTGTTTATGCCGCTTGAGTGCCATATCTCTGTGCTCCTGCGACACGAACCGTACCAACGCTTCTCCGTTCCGCCGACCCTGGGGCGACAAGCACAGGGCTACTCCACCCCTGAGCAAAACAGTAAATAGTCAATACTTATAATATTTTGATTACGACATGCAGCGTTCTGTTTAATAGGAAACCTCAATTTTATGACAGAAAAGATATATTATTACCATAAGTTCAGAAACTATTTTTCCCCATATTTTTTAGTGTTAGAGTCGTATTAGCATTTCTAACATAAATAAAATTTTGTTATAGTAGGAATAGAATAGACTTTCAGTGGTGAAACTGCCAATATTATGACGATATTTGGTTTCATTTTGCTATTTTGACACGTTTTTGAGTTTTGAGATAAATAACAAAATTTGTAAACACTATTCTACATTATTTGTACTCATACAAAATTCATACTCATTATTCTACATTATTCGACTTTCATTATTAAAATAGATATCAAAGTAGTAAAATTATATATACTACGCTATAACATTGCTAAGATGTCGTATCCTAAAGCTAGAGTTATAGCTAGAGGAGTGAGGCGTATATGCAAATAGGTATTATGCAACTTAAATAGTACTCACTTGGCAACATTGAGACCTCTGAAGAATTTTGCTATGTCTTGGTCAGAGGACTGCCACGGGAGTCCACGTGCTCTCACTATACAATTTCCATCAATTTCATCGTCTTTTGAACTGTAACAAAAAAGAAATTACCATGACAGTTTTAGCTTTGCTATTTTTTATGCAACAATATTATTCTCTGTAGGAAATTGAAAAATAATGTGTTAGCCTAAAATCATGAAAATCGACAGGTTTATACCTATATAATGAAATAGTTATAATAACTAGTTTATTGAAATAAATGTTTATTCGGATCAGTAGATTTTCATAGACCAGCGTTCCTTATTATTCCTATATATTGCCATTTGATCGAGTTAATAAGGATTATCTCAAACAAATGGCAATAAGAATGTGATGCTAATAATGTTATCAAAGAATGTGATGCTAATAATCAATTCATTACTTCTGTTATCTCATACCTCAATATGTTTTTGTTACTAACGCGTATAAGTAAAGAATATTATCAAAAATTGCAGAAACATTGTCAAATATATATTAGAATCAGTTTTATCTTTAAATTTCATTTTAATAACTGTTAACTTTATAGTTGAATGTCAAACGATATTGGCAAGCTACTGCCGAACGCGTCGAAGTGACAGAACTACTGAAACGAGGACGAGCAATGCTAGTGAAAAATAAATGTTGAAGTAACTTATATGCGAGTTACGGTCTTATTCGCACGTACGCGTTACTTGGTTAGCTGATGATAAATCGAATCGAAAACGGATCGAAAGCGAACGAAACTATAGTTTTTAATGGTTTTTCTATTCTACTAAGTGACATACGATATAATTCCAGCTAAAATAAAACTGGAATTGTATCGTATGTCACTTTGTAGGATAGGAAAACCATTAAAAACTAGTTTTGTTCGGTTTTGATCCGTTTTCGATTCGATTTAAACAAAATTTATTTAGTAGAATTGGCTCCCTGATTCGTGCTAGCGTACGGCTCGTACTGTGTATAGCGAAATTGGTGTAAAACAATTAGTTTCTTTACAGTCAGTTGCACAATCGTCCATTAAAGTTTTGAGTAGTTTAAAGCGTTACAAAAACAAATTAGACATTCATTAGAGCTTAAAGGCATCATTAGACCATAATGGGCGTTTGTGCAACTGACCGTTAGATGTGTTCCGCCTCTTTCTCAGGGACTTTCTTAGGAATTGTTGACGGCATGGTTTGAGGTGGTTATGAGAAAATGCCAAGAAGTGCCAAAAATCGCAGTTTTGTAGTTTGCCCAAGGAAAATAATTCCATCCATAGAAGTCTGATACAGTAAAAATAGTCTTCGGAGACATAAAGCTTGTGAAAGTTTGAGAATTTTTTTTCTAATGAAAATAATGAATCAGTGGTAAACTAAATGTATTACTATAACATATTGGTGTTTTGCCAGTTTTTAGAGTAACTCTTAACATTTTAACACAACTGCAGAAAAAAAGGAGCGTTTTGTTTTAGTGTATGTATATAATTATAGTTATAATAAAAAAACTAATTGCAGCCGGGGGATGTTCTGTGGAACATTTGAAATCTAAGAGGTCCCCCTTTTACAATGACAATTATGTTTAGCAGCTTAGCCAAATCATAAGATTACTTATTTTTTTTATTTTTAGTTCGATTTTGGCACTCGTGTTTTTTTTTTTAATTTTTTAGTAAATTAGGTGTTGATTATAATGTTTACAAACATTTATCATCTAACACCTTCATCTTTTAAAGAATATTTCATCACCCTTCACGGCATAGTAAAAAAACTTCTTATATTGTAACAAGCTGGATATAATATAAACAAAATAATTTCCTTTCTCACTCTCACAAGATCGCTATCGAAATCACAGACACTTTCGGGTACAGTCATAGACGGTTATTTTGTAAAAATGTATAACATTGCTTAGAAATATTGCTGATATTATTGATTAGTCCCAAACTGTACTCATTATTATAAATTTTATAATACCCACTCATCTGTCACTATATTTCTCGTCTATTGTCCCGTATTTTCAATATAAAATTGAGAAAAGTTTATTAAGGACACGTGGGTAGCAATTCCATTGCAAAAACTAGACATCAAATGTTCTTATTACATAGGACTGAGCTTTGAATTCTGTAAGCAACTAAGTTAACAAAGTATACTTATTATAATATACATACAGGAGTATATTTATTTGTAACATCATAACTAATTTACTGGTCGAACATGACCCGAATGACGTCGCCATAAGGATGGTAGGACCGTGCCTTTTTGCTCTGTTACTCGACTTTTAGCCACCAAAGTCTTATTTTTTAGATGAAATGTGACTAAGGACTAATGTTAAAACAAATTAAGGTCATTGCTTCTTCGAATTATCTTTGAAGACGGTTGTGCTTGGACGTCACTTTGCCATGTGATTGTACCTCAGTGTTGCATGGATGTTATGATACCTTCCCACACATAATGGGCATTGTGTTCATGGGACTATTCGCACACTAACATATGAATAGTTTATTTTTATAACTGCCCCGAAAGTGATTCATAATGTTCCTGTGTTTTTAAAAGCTCTTACAACAGTTTGTAAATGTGTTCTATATGTTATTAATTCAGTATTAGATTATATCATTGAAGACAAAGTCTTTATATTATTATATCATTGAAGACAAATAGAGAAGGCTTACTTTTAAAGATGATATAGTTTATTTCTTTCGCTATTTAATATCATAGACAATTTTAACACTATGCTCAAAATAAAAATGATAATACGACAAGCGGTATAACATTATTCCTTATTTGAATTTGGAAATGTTCTTGAACCTTTTTTATCAAATTTCAAAAGAGCATCAATTCCACAAATTGTTTATTGTATGTTCCACGATCTTCGTCATTAGTAGAGTGATTCTTGTTAATTTCTTTTTGGTTGAATGAAAGGGCATAATTCTTATTCAAATTTTATTGAAATGGATGCTATAGTTTGATAGTCATTATTTTAAACAGCCGACATTAAAAAAAAGAAATTGAATATGTTAACCACTTTTGTAGGTTTTAAGAGTTATTTCTTTATTTGATTTTTTAAGTCAGTTTTAGTTAAAATAAAAAAAATGATTATTTTAGAATTTTGTCAACGAAACCGATAAGATAATTTGACGATGTAGGCTTTTAGGCTTTTTTTCAGTTTGAGGCACGAAACTACTGCCCCGATTTTTATAAGAAAGGGACTCCCTCAACAATATCCCACTTAAAAAAAAATATCAAAATCGGTCAATTTGATCCTTTTTATGATTTTCTTGGAGTCAGTTTTAGTTAAAAAAAAAAATTGTTTTTAAAATATTGTTATATGTTTTCCCGAAAGAAAACTAATGTAAGTTTAATAATTTTTCATAAACAAAGTTTTGTGTAAATCTAATTAAAAAATATTTTATCAAAAAATCATATCATATACATTTTACATTGTCTGAACTAGTTTAACGATTCTCAATCTTGGGGTCACGATCTAGAGTTGAGCCTCAGTCAAATATAATAGACGACCACAATGTATCAAATAAATGAAACCTGTCTAAGTAAATCTAAATAAAATATTAATATACTGGAAATAAGCGATAGCATTAGCCGATATTATATACCTTTATAAAATTAAAATTAATAGAACTAGTAAGTAGTTTTATTGTAGTCTAGGATTGTTTTAGAATCCCTTATGAATATGAGCAGTGCATATGATGTTGTCTAATATCTGTTTATTATTTAATTTTCACAAATTATTTCGACATAATTTTGATTAAAATCAAATAAGTCTATTAGTAATGTTCTAAATATGAACTTTGAACCATTAAATTCAGTGGGTCGAAAAACTGAAACTGTTGAAAACCAATGATTTAAGTAGTGTTAAATTGTATTAGTGCGGAAGTGCTTTGCACTGAAAGTAACTTAGAACCTGAAAAATGTGACGTACCGATTTAATTATTAACGGAATACCTGCTGTATCATCGATAAAAGTAAGGGGGATTCATTTTTTTTATTTACCAGAATGTAGACGTTTTTGGCCAACGCCTCAAACTTTTTTTTGCAAGAATTTAACTTCTTTACATTATTATATTTGATGATGTTTGGGTGAATTGCCTGAACATTGATGAGAATGTCTCCGTACTAGCGAAAAAGTAACAGGTGCTTGAAAGATTCGTCAGTCCTTTTAAAGCCTGAGTAGCTCAGTTCGAGCAGTTAGCTGGATTGCGAAAGGTCATGGTTTCAAGTTCCATCTCAGGGTGTCAGGGATCAAGTGGATTTTTCATGAAGCTTACTCTTTTCATTATTTATCCCTCGGCTACAAAGATAACTCACAAACTTATAAAACTTCCATACGATAAAATAGATTAATTGTGAGTAATAAAAAGACGTTAGAAAGTTATTATTAAATATTGTTGTATTCTGGCCATTTCCTTTAGCTTTGGCCTTCACTGATTTTTGTTTTAATTCATAATAAATTCATGCGAATTGTTTGATTTTTAATACAGGTTGTTATCTTAAATATAACATTAAGAATTTTCATTAGATAAGTATATGAAAATTTTTCTTTATCAGAAAGTATTTCGTTAGAAACTAATCTTGACCTCGACGTCGAGTGACGTGACGGTATAGAAATAATTATTTATTATCTTTTAAAGTAGATTTTATTAAATCGAACCTCTATGCTATTACAATAAAGAGGAAAGAGTTTTTGTTTGTTTGTACTAAATAGGCTTCAAACTACTGGACCGCTTATAAAAATTCTACACTACGGGAAGCTACATCATACGCGGGTGACATAGGCTTAATTTTCACGGGTAAAGTAGCGGGAAAACAACTGTTATGTTAACAAAATTTACTCTTACGTAATCCGTTTGAATTTGGTAAATTTGGATATAATGAGCAATTTTTAAAAGTAACAAACTTTACCTATTTATAATATTAGTTTAATATAGATTTACATTAATAGTGAAATATAAAATCTATTGGTAATCGAACAGGCTTGACGTCAAAATACTTAGATGACATACTGTATGTTTGTGAATGATTTCTATGATAAATAAGCCGACGCCATTGTAAACAGGCTAAAGGTTACCAAAATAAGCAAATCAA